ATAAATTTTCCCAGTGTATACAAGGAAAGTATGGCTGTCAGGTCAGCCAGACAAAAGAGTGATTTGGTGACCTTCCTCAAAGACAGAGTGTGGAACCTCCAGTGTGAACTTCAGCACCCTGTTCTGACACAGCATGTGTTAAAACATCCCTGCAAAATGTCTGTCTACAACAGACACCAAGGACACAGTTTTCAACCACTATAAAACCTTTTGTTCCTAAGCAAAATGTTGCATGTGGATCAGACGTGTAGACACGATCGTTTGACCTTATGCATATTTCCTTTGAGAAGAATAAATAAGAGGACAGTATTTATACTGTTTTGAGCTCTGTTAGAAATGGAAGCAAGGAGAACAATGCAAAGTGCTTTTGCAATTTGGGGTGGGACTAAAATCGGAAGAGATATTAACTGCTGTAGTAAAGAAATAAGTAGAATTCACTACACAATATAATGCAGAACTAAAATTTATGCTTATTTTATTAGCATGACAAAATTATGAGGATAATGATTACAATTTAAATGTCATGTTTTCACGAAGGCAAGAGGATAGCATTGGAAACAAAAGTAAATACATGGGCGAGGTCAGTACATAAATCACATAAATATAATTCTTTCAATTCAGAAAACTGTTCCAGCAATAAGAAAGTGGCACCATTTCTGTTTTATTATTTACAATGTTCTTTTAATGTATGTTTAATTTTAATAGATGTGAAGTTATAAAGAATATAATATTAATGAAGTTTAAATTGTATGTATTTCTCTTGAATATCAGTTGCACATAAAGTTTTGCCTCAGCACATCATGTGAAAACCCCATTGTAGATTGACAATATAAATTTAAGTAATTAAGTGTGTTTTTTGAGGGAATATATGATACACAAAAATGTGGATGTCAATTTGTGAAGTCAGTTCTGACCTACCTTCACTTGGGATCTGAGGATTGATTGCATTGGCTTAAGCTCCTGCCCTTAGACAACAGCTCCTTTATCTACTGAACCTTCTTAACCATGCCAATAGTCACAATCTTCATGTTATTTTTAATGTGTCATGCCCTCCATACTGGCTAAAACGTAAATCATGAAGCATCTCCATGGGAAATGTGTTAAGTCAGTGAATGCTACTTCACCATATTGTTACCCTGGTAAGATGAATCCTATCTTTTTAGTGTAGACATCCATGTCAGCAATTATGATATAAATGTGCTATCGTTCCACAGGCTGTTAAATATTCATAGACAAAAATAATTATATACACCCAGCTTGTGTTAGTGAAAAGTAAAGGTGCATATTAAACTTGGAAAAACCAAACAGAAAGATGTAACTAAAACATACATATCATGACAGCCATTATACACAGTGAAAAACCAAAATTATTATATAACTCATTGGGAGATAACCATTATATTTTACAATTGACCTAGTAATAAACATTTTTTATTCCCATATTTTTGTCCTCACATACATAAAAGCATATATTGTGAAAAATTGCATTTGGTGATGACATTAAATCTGTGCTTTCTTTTTATAAGCCTAGGTAAATGAACACATTTTTTATAATATAAATTATATTTGTCATGGGTAAACACCAGACATTTCTTTGGGACTATAACATATCTACAAATTACATGGGAAGAATATTTACCTTGAATTAATCTTATCTTGAAATGGCTTTGTGTTTCTGTTAAGATAAATATTGTTTGCTTATCTATATAGAATGGATGCGATAAATGACATTCTAGTAGAAATTTTTGGAATCGAAGGTTAATATAAGAGCTATTTAGAAAAAGAGATAGGACTTAGTTTAAAATTGTACTGAAAAGTGAAAAATACATGGGATGTACTGCAAACACATATCTGGCTTCTAGTGACACCAAAAATGATCAGGATATCTTTGACCACATGTATTTCTTTAAAACAGCCTGTCTGCGGCTTTACAAAGTAACAAAGATATACTTTGTTATGACTCTAAAATTTACTAATATCCTGTAAATGTACTTGCATGCCTTAGTGATGAAACTTTGCATCTCTATTCATTGTATCATTGTATATTTACAGGACTGTATTTAATTTAACACACAGGAAACAGTTATTTTTCATTTTTTTTTGTTTTCAAACTATTCATCAGCTAATTTTTATTTATATTTTTTCTATTTTTTGAAAGCTTACCATAGAACTAATTATCTGTACTAATGACCAATAGTATCTGGCCATTTAGGATACTAATATTTAACACTGAGATTACAAGGAAAAATATGTATTCTTGAATAGATTCATATTTTACCCATTTGTTAAAAGTTTTCCTCTAGGTTAGAAAACTGCTTTCTTAAATAACTCACATGATATTTCCATTTCTCTATCAGCATTTAGGATCAAGCACTCAAACACATGAGACTATGGGGGCCATATCTATTTAGACTACCACATTATACTTCCTGGTCCGCATATGCTTGGAGCCATATCATACATTTAGTCCAACTTCAAAAGTCCCCATAGTCTATCACAGTTTCTACAATGTTTAAAAGACAAAAGTTCAAAGTTTTTCTGAGATTCAAGAAATCACTTAACTGTAATCCTCCATGAAGTCAAAATTAAAAAAGAACAGATAACATATTTCCAATATATGATGACAGTATACATACATATATGTATATGTATATGTATATGTATATGTATATATATATATATATATATATAATTCCAGAACATAGAGAAGGGAGCACATTGAGGCAGTACTGGATGGATCAAAGTAGGAGGCCAAAACCCAACTGAGCAAACTCTAAAATCTGCATACCCATATCTGATGTCAAAGTGCTCTTCAAATCTCCAACTCCTTTCAGCTATGTTGAGTGCAACACACTTCTTTGTCTTTAGCTGTTTATACTCCCTGTTAACAGCTTTCCTCTGCAGGTATCCCATGACTCTGGTAACTCCAACATCTTGGGTTCTCTAAGGCAATCGAAGCTTCAGTTTCAAAGTTTCATGCAATAGACTCTGGGCCTCCATTCAGGGTTCACCCTGACACATTTCTGGCTGCATCAGCTTTCCTTACTCACAGAGGAAGATTCCATAACCCCTTTCTTGTATCTTTGATTCTAAAGCCATACCCATGTGGCTGAAGCTGTCAAGTCCTGCTGCATTTGGGGATGGAGCAAGGACCGCTTGTTTAATTACATCTTCATCAGCTTTCTGTTTTCAATGGCTTCTTTGCTGCCTTAAGTGTCTGATTATTGATCCTAAAACAGGATCAATAGACCAGACTGGCCTTGAACTAAGAGATCCTCCTGCCTCTGCCTCTGTAGTGCTGGGATAGAAAGAGTGCACCACCATATCTGGATATAAGCTTATCTTAATTCCTTCCCACTAGTTGGAAGTTTAACTGGGTAGGTTCTTGCCCTAAGATCACTACTACCTTTATTCTATTTCTTAATATGGTATCTCCTTGGACACGGGACTTAGCTCTATTCTACTTCCTGGTGCTCGTTTTCTCCTCAAATTGCACATTTTGTATTTTCCCTTGCTCAGCTTGCATCTTTCCATTATAGATCACTACTAACCACACACCAGAGTCAATACTAGTTTGTTTTGAGATTTCCTCTACCAGTGGAATTAATACAAATCTCTTCACTTTAGCCTCATGCAGACTTTTTGGAGAAGGGCAAATAGCAGACACCTTTTCCCCAAAATATCACAAGAAAAGTTTCTAGGCCAAATATTAAAATTCTTCTCCTATGACACATCTTGAGTCAGGCCCCCATAGTTCAAATAACCCTCTACATCACTGCCTTCCATGTGTAATATTGCATTTGCATTTCACTTAGTTAAAAAACTTGGTCTTTTAAAACACATATTCTAATTTAGATTTCTTTTCTAAAGTTCTGTAATGGAATTTGATTAACTGTTAATTTAGTGAGAACATTTTAAGAAGCATCAGTGCAAACTCAAGAACATGCTTCTCTTCCTACATGATCAAGTGTAGTTTTCAATGTTTTGCTTTTAAATACCATAATGATACTTGAAAGCATTTTGTAAAAGCAAGAAAAGAATTTTTGGTCTTTTATTTTCTATTACATTACAACGGTTCTATCACTAAAATGTTTACAAGAGGAGAAAGGTCCATGGAGAGGTTAGGTCATATTTATTAACAGTGGCAATGCGATCTACTAAAAGTTTCTACTTAAGAGTCTTCCATATCTTCCTAATAAAATGTAAAGTATCCATTATCAGAGTTTTGTCACTCCTAAAACATTTTCATAAAGAGATCACAGATTTCCTTCTATATGCCCATTTTCTGAGTTTGGTGTATTAAATAGACCCCTGGGATTTATGTACTTACATATACATGATGAAAGGTAAGAAAACTAAATAAAACCATTTGATTTATTTGCTCAAATCTAGTATGATTAAATCTAAATTCAAGTTTTCTACTCTTGACATTTAAATAGACCCCTTTAAATTGCACTTAAAATGCTTCGGTTTATGGTTAGAATCTTCCGTGGTGTTTATTTGTATAATTATCTGAGGTTACACTCTGAATTATGATATAAATTGAGGCATAAATTAATTAGGGTATATATTTATGGCTATAGAAAAATGATAATTTATTATTTTATATAATTTTAAAATGTGTTCTAGTTACAGACACGGAATAATCCAAAATTCAACTATTTTGCTTTTATTAACTAAATAAAAAGACAAAATATAAGTTTTATCAAAAGTAAGGTCCCTCATACATTTTAATATTTGAAATAGAGAAGAAAATTGACAGAGTTTACTTGCTGATATAAAAATCAAACAGATATCATTTGTAAATTAAATCACATTTTTTATTATATGCTCTACTGCATTTTACTGAATCAAAACAAAGTGTAACATATGCAGATTTAAACAGTCAAAATTTGAAACATAAAAAATAATATGAACAGTTGAGATATTTACTTTCAGAACACATTTTAAATGTTCAACAAATATTTCATTTTCAAATAAATATAACATAATATTCTTACCTTAGAAAATTGTGCATTTATCCATTTTGTGAATGTTTTCTTTTGAACATCTTCTCTTTCATCTATTTTGTAAAATAAACAAAATTAAAAGTTATAACTAATTGTAGGTTATATTTTGCAACCAAAATAGCTTTCAAGTAAACATACTAATTTTATTTAAAATTTAGTGTTAATGTCATTCATAAATGATGTTGAAATAAGTGATGTTGGTATTGGGTATTTGATGGAAAAGTATATCTAAAATTAATTGATGTGGTCAGGTCCATAGTCTTTCAAATATAACAGCATTGACTAAATCAGTCTCATCGAATAAATGGGATATTATTCATTTTTTAATATTCTAGTCATGCTAGTGCAATTAAAGGAAACTATTTGGTAGTATTTATTTAGCAAATATAACGCTGGGCCTTTCCATGTACTTTCTTTCCCGTATATGAATAAAGGATTATTTATTCATTCACAACCACTAAATCCTCTAATACAGAAAAAAACTTCATATTACAAAGGCTCTTTAACTACCAGGAGCATGGCTTAGTTACCTTTGTATTTTATTTTCTACACAAACTAAGAACTCAGAAAACATTATTTGACAAACATAAATGACTTAAGGGAGGGCCAATACTACAAGGCTAAAATTTCTTATGTTTCATTGTGTTTAAAGTCAGAAATTGTAAAAGCAAATGGCATTTCTTGGCTTATAAATGAAAACTCAGAGGGAAAATTTCTACAGATTTATATCAAGGGATTAGGTTGAGAAATTATAAAGAAACAGGTTTATAAAAGCCATCATTACAGAATTATTTGCTTTTCTAAGCTGGAAATGACTATTGAGTTATATTGACAGAAAAAAATTCCATCGTCATTAATAAAATATTTTCTTCAATGTTTGGTATTAGTTAATAGTCAATAACCAGTATATCTATACAATATGTAAGAACTAAATATTTCAGATATTATTTACTTAGGTCATAGGTCAAAAGAATTGTTATGAAAATACCTCAAAGTGTACACATTTCTTCTCATAAAATTTTCAATAGTAAACATCCATTCATTTCTTCAAAATATTTAGAATATTGCAAAGATTTTTTCATAACAAATACATTCATATACTAAAATAATATCTATCTTTAAATTGAAATACAAATGCACGAAAAGCTTTTATACTTATATGTAAAATAGCAGCAGATAGCTCTTGAGGGGAAAATTTTATTTTCCTTCATAAAATACATTCTTACTTAATTATGTTATTCCCATAGTCTACTATACATATGGTCAATTCCAGCATTATCCATATGATAACACACAAATCAGAAATAAACAATGTGGATACCTCTCTTTTGTTGACATATTTGAATAAATTAGAGTGATATTTTCAAACCTAACAGTTCCTATCACCACCAATTACATACCATTCCTTGAAAATCAAGAAAATAAGAAAGGGAATATTTAAATGCCACATTTTAACTGGCTTGGTGTGAAAGTCTAGACAAATATCTCTCAGTGTTATATAGGGCTATTCCTCCCTAAAAGTAAATGAACTTATTTGAAATTCCAATTTCTTTTTTTCATTCAAATCCATGAGTATTCTATGCCACACACCAGAGAGAAGATGAGTATGCTATATAGTGAATATATTTTGTCCAGAACAAATATCATGTTGGAGCTTAATACATCTTGTGGCTATATTTGGAACTGAGATTTAAGGGGGAGGTAATTAAAGCAAGTTACAGAGACTGCCCAATGTCATCTAATGGGTGTGGGTTCTTGCTCTCACAGAACTAGGTTAACAACCGAATATGTCATTAAGAACTGGCTACGATTGTGAGTTTTCATGTTTCTTATCACCCTAGAGAAACAGATGTCACTAGAAGATCAAAGAAACGATTTTGTCCTAGTCCAGATTGGTGAGCCAGTAAGTTTTAGAGGGTTAATTACATGAACATTAGAAACTGAAAGGTAGCTAGCTAGCTGTACCACCAAGAAGTTGTCTAAACAATTTATGGTAGCTTCCTCAGTAAGAGTCCCAGCTGCATTGTAATAAGCTGTACCACTAAAGAGTCCGTTGCACGATTTATGGGGAACCACACTACTGAAGTGTTTCCATAAACAATCATTTTATTTTACCTCTTCTGTAACATTTAGAAGTGAGAGAACCTCTGATATATCCATAGAAGAAGGTTCAATAGCTCAGTGGGCCTTTGTAACCCTTCCGTGTGAGAAGATGGACGCACCCCCCAAAATAACCCATTTCCAACTATAGCTACATGAATGTATTATGTTCCAACATAAATTTTGTTGCTCACTAAATATATTTTATACATAAAAGACACATCTTCTCTTTGTTGTATGACTACTATGCTGTTAAGATCTTATAGCACTGATTACAAACACGGTGATTAGTTGAGCAATGATGATGCCCCAAAGAAGCAGCAATCCATCAATGATAAAAAGTGTTACTCCTTCTATGTGCAATCTCTGAAAGTACCTGTTAGGCCTTTGCATTTCTGCAATGGATCCTTCACCAGAAGCTAAAAAATCTAGAAACTTGATGAACTTTTAGAAGCATGAGTAAAAATAAATGTCCTTCTGAATAACTAGCCTAATCCCATACATTTTGTTATAGCAATAGAAAATGTACCAAAAGAGTACTTGAAAGTACACAAGAACACTCAGATGTTTTAAAACATAACAAATGATCTCTAAAATATGCCATTTGATGATAGTTATGCCAAAGGCTTTTAGGTGAAAAAATAATTGTGATTTCATTTTCAATTAATTTCCAACTCCATATACAAAGCACTGAAGTCAGCACAGAAACCTTGACATTATGAGCAAAATGTTATGTATCTACTGTAAAAATAGCAGTAAGTGTGAGGTTCAACATACAAACATCTTCAGGAAATATCCTGTTTCAATTATCATCTTTTGTAGCAGAAAAATATATCTGCAATGAATTTCTTGAAATTGGTTTACTTTGGAATTGTAGCTTTTTCAATGTGATAAATATTATAATTCATTTTGTTATAGCTACAAAATATGAATGATTATTAGTGTCTTATTGCTCAATAACAATTTTTAATAATATTTCAATCAATTTGCATGTTATTTAATACTTTTACATTGGAAGATAAACTCTGAATGAATAAAGCTGGTATTATAAAAAATCAATTAGACAATGATCATTTGAATCAAAGTCCATAGTTGATGGAGGAGGGTCATCTGTCTATTGGTTAATTAATAAAGAAAACTGCTTTGCCTGATAGGTAAAGAACATAGGTAGGCAGAGTAGACAGAACAGAATGCTGGGAGAAAGAAGCCAAGTCAGGCAGTCGCCATAGCTCTCCTCTCCAAGATGGACACAGGTTAGAACCTTTCTGGTAAGCTACCACCTCATGGTGCTACACACATCATTAGAGATGGGTTAAACAAGATGTGAGAATTAGCCAGCAAGAGCCTAGAGCTAATGGGCCAAGCAGTGTTTAATAGAATAGAGTTTCTGTGTAGTTATTTTGGGGCATAAGCTAACCAGGCAGCCGGGAGCCGGGGCCAGCAGGAACACAGCCCGCCACTCCGACTACACATAGTTTTCATTTTGACTAGATATACCTTTTTAACATAATTTGTTAGCAAATTGTAAAGAATGGTTTGAAATAATCAAAGAAAAAAATTGAACAGATGCACACTAATTCAAAACAATCACAAGATAGATACTCAATTTAAGCTACCCAAACTTCTATGTATGTTGTAATTGCAGGAAAGCATCCTGAATTTTTATAATATACAATTTTAAAATTATTAGATTATTGCCATATTTTCTATAATAAAAATGTGAAATCAGGAACAAAGCAAATATGAAGACAATAAAGTAAAATATGTTATTGAAAAGTAATTGTGCACATTTCTACTCAGTCATTTCAAATAACATTTTTTTTCTCATTTTTCTTTTGAGAGTTTTATAACTAGCTTCCTCACACTCATAAAAATATTTCTGAGCATATTAATTTGAGAGGCAAAGAAGAAAATCTCTCTTAAAAAATTTACTTGAGTACTGTTCTCTGGGGATGTCAGAGAGTGAAGAACTACTACTTCATAAATTGCTAAAAGTGATCAATATTTTATTTTATCCTCTCTATGGGAAAATTTCACATAAAATTATCTTCCTACCATGACATAAAACATGTACATCTTCTCACAATTAAACACTTCTAGTAGTCATTTTTATTCAATATATCTAGCATTTTGTATCTCCTGAGATTAGTGCATCAACCTTTAACCTGTTATTAACTTTTATATTCTTGAAAACCTCAGGAATATAAATGTGGGATAGATTCAATGTAATATTCATGATTCACAAGAAAAATTACTGCAGGAAAGTGTTACTAAGAGGCACACTGAAAGAGCATTAGGTGAGGAGACCTACCTTCCATTTCTACTAAAAGATAGTCTAGAATTTTGGCCTTGTATTTATGAGTCCTCACTCTGTTTTCCTTTGAAATAAGGACATTGTTCTTTATATCATCGACCCATTGTTGTAACTTAGTGTAATGATTCGTGTATTAAATTCTATGAGAGTCATATGCAGAATGTACATAATTCTTCACTAGTTTTTGAGAATACAAATGACAGTCAATCTTTGGCAATAAATAAATGAAGTATTTACAAGAACAAGAATTGATAATTCTGAGAAATTAACGGGGGTACAGAGAAAAGGATATTCAGCTACTCGTGCACTGGGGGAGGCATTGTAGACAAGGAGAAAATCAATTTGAGTCTCGCTGAATGTGTGAAAACACAAAAGAAAAATATTAGGGAGAAAATAATAAATTTTGGTGATTGGAAAACAAAGAATAGAACCGTAAGAAATCAAAAGTCATGCTCTTCATTCAATGAAATTTTATGTTGACTCACTCAAACTCATAAACAGGGAAATTAAGTGGCTTAAATTGCAAGATGCTATCATAGAGGAGGATCTTTCTATAACCTGACCTTTTGTTTGCTACCAGATAAAGTCATAAAGCTGGACATCCCCTGATGATTTTTACAATAATAAAACACTGACTAA